ATATATATATATAACATAAATAATAAAGAAAAGAAAAACCAACATAATTTTTTTTTATCTTTTGACAAATAATTGACTTTAATATCCTCCTAACTAACATTTCTTCACATATCTAAAGTTATGTTATTAGCTATTTATGCATTGATGCACTTGAATCTGAATAATATATTTAAAATTACGATTTTCATTAACTGGTAGTATTAAAGATGAAGATTTATCCACTAATCCAATTCAAAATTCATTAGAATTACATTCTTTGTGAAGAAACTTATGTAGTGTTACATGTTAATATAAGTTTAACTTGTGTCTTAAATAGAAATGGAGGCCCTAATTTAAAAATTGTGAAACATGATCTAAAGATACTAAATATCATTTCAACCACATTTCTTAACGATATATGACGTAAATTAAAAACTTCATTTTCATTTTAAGGGTTATTTCCGTGACTTGCAAAATATTTTTTAATATGTGTTTTAAAATTTTATATTTTAATATTCAATTTTATTAAAAATAAATATTTAAATTTTAATAATTTAAAAATTTTAATAATAGATAATATTCAATAATACAAAAATCATTTTCAATATTTAATAATTAAAAAAAATAAATATTGATAAATTATACATCAATTGGTAAATAGAAAAAGAAAAAGGGATAAATGAGAGAGATTAATAAAGGATAAAGAAAAAAGAGATAAATAAGAAAGAGAGAGAAAGAGAAAGCAAAGGCGAGACTAGAAAAAGAGAGAGAAAAAAAATGAGAAGAAGAAGAAGAATAAGAGATGAATAAAAAGAAAAGAGAGAAAATAAGATAGAGAACAAAGGAATAGAGATAAACAAGAATGACTAGAGAGAATTAGAAGAAAAAAAAATATGAGAGAAAATATTTAAGAGAGAGAAAAAGAATAAAAAATAAAAATAGAACAGGAGGAAAATCATGCAAAATTTTAAAGATTTTTATGAGATTGTTTGATAAGTGAATTATATATAAATTATACTAAAAAAATGTCATAAAATTTAGTATTTAAAATAATCCATTAAATTTTTTTATATTTTTAAATACCAATAAACTTTTTTAAAAGTAAAAAACTCTTAATTGAATACTACTAAAATTTGACAAATTTTTAAATTTTTTTAATTATCTTAATTGAATATTTCAAAATTTGGATGAACTTAGAAAAATCCTGATTATCTTAATTAAATATCACATAAATTTTTTATATTAATTTTTTTATATGGAATATTACAACACTTTTTTATAATAAAAAAATCTTTTAGAATTTATTAAAATCTTAATTTAATACAGTCTGCTAAAGTTTTTCCAACCATAACCTATGAACCCAGGCCGTTTAACTTTTCTTATCGAACCTAAATTTAAGCCCAACATTGGTGGTATTTTTATTTTTATTTTTCCATATAGTTTTATCTTTCATATTATCTGTGTTTTATCTTTCATGTATCAAAATTCAAGTAAAAATTATTCCTAGTGTGTTAGGTGTTAACAATAGATTCTTTTTTTTACATATTATTTTAACAATTGGTTATTGTATATCATGTGAAATAAGTTTTTATATTTAAATATGTTGTGTAATTTTTTTAAGATAATCTAATTAAATTATTTCAAATATCTAAAATAATCAGTTTTTATAATAGATTTACAATAAAATATATAAAAATACTTAGCTCTATATTTAATATTATTGATTAATTTAATTTAGATGCGGTGATAATGTAAAAATAAAAAAAAATGCTGATATTAAATAACAAACTGCTAAGTATATTTGAATTTCACAATTATTATTTTAAAAGTAATTTAAATTGATTAATAGGATAAAAACTCTTATACGACAAATAAAGTTAGGCAGATGATAAACACACCTCCACTCTCGTATAAATACTTTGAGGTCAAGAAAAACCTCAGACCAAAATATTCTGTAGTATCTGATTAACATTGGTAAGAGGTAAAGAAATTGTCCATGTTCCCAATTGCTTAAACTATAATAATTTAGGATAGTTGGTTATCAAATCCTAGATAGCAGTGCAGAGCTTAACCTTAATTACAGTCACCCTTAGCAAGTTGTAATTGCAGCCTCTTTGGGTAAAACTTGGATAATCCTTACCTTACAAACTTATTTTGCAGAGTTGAGTCATAAAACCCAAATTCAAAGATGTAGAATAAAATATTTATCTTGCAACTATATTCTTTCATGTAGTGACCATACTGCTATTTGTTATAGCATTTAGAAGTTTGCCACTACGCACTGCTATTTGGGATAGACAGCAGGTAGAAGGAAAAAGTAGTTTTGGTTGCTGTATAATTGGTGCACTGCCAATGATAAGAAAAATGCCATAGAGATAAAAAGACAATAACATGTTAAAGAAAAAATCACCAAACCAAATGCTAAAAAGAAAGACTTATAGCATGTTTCCAACTCTCCAATGAATACCTGGGAAATGATCGAATTCAATAAAGATGTTTCCTTTAACATCAATTCTTTTATTTCCAAGAAAGCATTGTAGGTAGCATAGTATTTACGAGTTTGTCGATGTTTCCCCTGTACATAGTCAAAACCAAGAACATGCATAACAATTAGAAGTTAGAACTAGCATGACCATGATTTGATAAACAACAAAAAACACTATCCTCTCTCTAACTTAACTTTTCTCTCCTTAATAATAAATAATTTTTCATCAAAACAATGCATGAACCTGGATTTGCGCATACAGTTCTGATAGCCGGCGTTCGTACCTGCACATACACAAATGAAGAATTATCCAGTAAATATATTTAAGACTGACAACTACGTTTCACATTCTTATTGACCTAACCCTGTCATACATGCATGACTCCTTTCCTCTCTTCCAGGCACCAAATGGTCCAAATCTATAGTTATTTTTCATTAACTTTTTCCATATAATATATTCTACTTCATCTCATAAAAGGGTACATTTGTGGTGGGAGATAACTCCCACATGAATTAGTATATTTTACAGACTAGTAGGCTTATGTAAAAGTAAAAGTAATTGATAAGAAAACTTCCTACCAATAAGAATGGAATAGAATATTAAACAGGGATGTGGTATCTTTCTATCAAATTTCCTATCCAATTTAAGCCTTGTCAGCCTCTCACTATCCCGTAATCAAAACCTCCCCAAATGTTCACAATTTTTTTTTCTTTTTGTGAAAATTAAGAAAAAATTAAAATGTAAAAAGCAATTTTATTGAGTTCTTCTTTCCCCTACCTCAAGTTGAAAGTGTGTTCAAATTGCAAAAAATTGAAATAAAGTAATGCATGTGTTTCAAAGAGTTTTGAAGACTAAAAGGGCATTGGAAAACATGTGCAAATGAAATTTGAAAGAAAATATCCTGGAATAGTTTAGTTGCACATAATTAGATTTACAAAAGAACATATTCAACTTCATTTGGCGAAGAGTTATAAGGAGTGTAATGGAAATTATGTACAAGTGAAAGGTGAAAGAAATAAACATACTGGATGACTTCTGATTGACATAATTATGGAAATATCTATCTTAAAAAAGAGAGATTAAATTCCGTTGTTTTTGGTCGATGAAAGGAAGAACGGAGTCCGGTTGCGATGTAGTTAATAATGGGCTGATGAACCAGCCCAATACATTCAGCGTAGACAGAAATTAGGGACGTAGGCCCACGAATATAATGGGCTTAGCAAAGGAAAAAAAACAAAAAAAAATAATGGGAAGGTGTGTAGTACAATAGTTGTGCATGGGGGTAACGAATTAGAAACGTGTACTACATGTACTACAATAACTAAAACTGCATAAATCCAATCGAGTACTACTATTACATACAATGAATTATTTGTTAGATATTTTTGGAGTTTTCGTGAATGAAAAGAAATAAAAATGTAACATTTGAATATGACATGAATATCAATTTGTGTGAAAGGGGAAGCAATTGACAATAATAATTAGTTATGTACAAGTATTTCATTTTTCACATGGAGAAGCAACTCCCCTTTTTGCCTTCAAGTTTGGCGGCGGCGGAGAGCGGCGGCGCCGTCTTGGAGGTGGACCCGACAGCCTGGTATCTCCGGCGTGCCGAGGGGCGGGGGAGGTTCTCCGGCACGATGGTTTCTAGGGAGCTGCCACGCCAAGAAGGGCACGTTCTTTTCTGGCTCCATTGGGTGGCACCATAAGAATTATTAGTATTTGATAGTGTTTCATTAGCCTTTGGCATGGTGGTGATTTGAAGGGCTTGATGGGCAAGTGCGAGTGAATTGCACATTTCTAGTCCAATTATGGTGCATGCCACTCCCATCGCAACGCATTGCCTTCTCCAACATCCTTCGGTTTTGGTCACCCTTGATTTCCAAGGCAACGTTAGTGACATGACATGTAACAAAAAGTAAAATTAAACAATGACTTATATTATTATGTGTAGGAACTTACGATGAAACAAGTTGAGGTGGCTTTGAGGGGATGAGAGAAGCGTTTGAAGTAGGAGGGGGAGGGTTTAGGAAGCAAATGGTTCTCATGGTGAGAGTTGAGTTGAGACAATTCCCCTCTTGATTAACGTTTGTGTTATGTACTATATATTTGTAGAGAAACGAAGGAAGAAATATATATAGAAGAAAAATGGAAGGAGAAAACGTTGAAATATCTAATGTAATGTGCGTGTGTAAAGTAAATACTAAATTTGCATTTTGTGAATACTAATGTATGAATTGCTTGCCGTCTATGCACCAATCTCGTCTTGCTCAATAAAGGACATAGTTGTCACAGTCTATCTCCATGTATCTTGGATCAAAATTTGGACCTCCTCAATCATCGCTTTCCTTTATTTTTCAATCCTTAATTTCCACGAGTCATGTTCTAAGACTCTAGTTTTTTTTTTTTTTTTTTAATTACTTTTTCAAATAACTACTTTACAACTTACAAGTTATAATAATTTCTCATAAAATGGGTCAAGTACAAAGAGAGAGGCTTCATTTGACCTTCATTTGTAAAGGTTTTCTATGTCACCATCCTCCCTCTTTTAAATTTTGAAAAAATAAATAATATTTCAGAACGATTACGTAAGTGGGAAATTGACAGTAAACAAATTTGAAATTTCCCCTTTTTTTAACGAATAATATTATGAAAAATTTAAAGAAGGGGTCCATCTGAACATTAGCATCAAGAGTTCAATTTCGTTTTTTCGTATTCTTTGTTTCCCTTTCTTCCTTGGACCTGACCAAGTTCATTGCCGACGCCGTTTTGATCAAACCACTAGGGACAAATTTGCTCTACCATGTGTCTCTTTACAAATTCAAACGGAATTTCACATATTTTCAAATACCAAATCAAAAAGTAACTATTTATAACTTTTACATTCTACTAATTTTTTTTTAGTTTGCCGTTTACAACCCTTCAAATGGAGATTCTCATTTGGTGAGAAGGAAATGTAGAAGACTTTTTTACTAGTTAAACAGACTTTTTTTTTCTTTTCTTTTTCTTCAAACTCGAGTCTTGCCCCTCATGCAAATTGGAATAGGCCCAATAGATTCAGGTTTTTTAGCCTTTAATTTAAGAGTCCAACTCAACTTAAAGTTTTTGGTTGTTTGGATTATTAGCTTATCTTACTGGATCCAAATTGCTAGTTGTACTACCATTGCTTGTTACTTCTGAGGTCTTCAACCTCCACCTTTCCTCTGTTTTTCTTTTTCATCTTTTTTTATAAACATTTATATTTTTTTCATATATATATTTTAACACGAAATCTAATATCTGAAACATGTTATTAAGCTTATAACAATGCATATGAAATATTTGAAGTGATAATATTTTTAATGATGAAAGCACTTTAATATTTTTAAGGTTATTTTTAATTAAAATAATAGGTAGACGTGGATGGCGAGACAAAAAATGAAGGGTAACACCAAATACTTTTGAAAAGTAGTGTGCGAGGCCTAGGGTAGTGGTTACATTCATTGATAGAAGAATATGGAGTAATTGCTTACAACAGAAGGCAGAATTTTAGGTTAACATGTGAACAAGACTTTTATAACACAACCTAACAAATTTATAAGCCAAAAGTGCTTTGTGTATTTTCAGAATTCTGTTGGCAATAAGCATGTTTACAACGCACTTCCTATCCAGAGGACCTAATACCTTTGTTGGCCATAAGGGTTGTTCTAAAATATTAAAAAAAAAAAGTGAAATTTAATATATATTTTTTGTCACATAGATATCTATCAGTTTACTAAGTCAGAGATTAATATCTTTAATCTCTCCCACTATTATGATTATCATTGATCAGATGAATTTTTGTATATAATATTAATCATGTATGAATTATCTATTAAATAGATTGTTTTTATAACGTGTGAATGGAGAATGTGTAAGTTTACTATGATGTCTATTTTTTTCTAATAAAAATTGACAACCTAATTAGAATAACACTAGAGACATACTTAGAAAAAAACCAGATTGACTAGGAAGTCAATTGGTGAGCAGAAATTTCGTGGCTCTTTAGGGATGTTTAAGTAGTGTGTCTCAAGCAAGCTCAAAGAAAAGTGTAATTGGATTGGAGTCTCAATGTGAATAGGTGCAACGCTATCCATTTTCAATGAGTATATATGTGTAGATCTTTGATAAGTTTAAATCAAAGTTTACCCATCTCAAAAGAATTTGGATAGAGAAACTTGCCAATACATATGCAATAATTTTCTCAATTTTACATACTTCTAAAATTTAGTGAAGATGTTATTATTTTTTTTATCGTAATTATGTGCCTCTCTTTTTCAAGTAGATAATGAAGCTATTCTAGTATGTTATTAAAGGTAATAAATAATATGTTATTAAAGGTTTAATTTTCAATTATATATTAAATGATTTCTACTTTTTCATACATTTATGGGCATTAATTGAGTATTATTATTACTATTTTGTAATTGAGTATTATTATATAGTTTCCCTTGTCGTAAGGGTAAATTATAATATTCATAATTAGTAGAATAGATTAGAGTTATATGTTAAGTTGATAAAAGCCATTCAATAAACCTAAATTATTCTTTATCTTAATTATCAATTTTGAAATATAAAGTAAATCATGTTGATAGAAAAAAAATATGTTAAAGTGATATTATCAAAGATGTCATTTTCTTTTATTTTTTTTAACATGAGATAAAAAGAGGGGAAAAAAATGAAAATTGTACCTATTTAAACGGGACATGCATGGCATGTTCATATTTGGTAGAGAGAAATTATTTCTATGTAATAAATTAATCTAATTTGTTTTAATAGAAAAAATATGTAATAAAATAAATTATTGATGGTACTATGACCTGGTTAATTTTGGGAGGATAAGTGGATAGGTGATTTGTGCTTGTTAGATGTCTTTCATCGTTTATACTCCTTTGCCTTGGACCCATTGTCAGTGGTAGCACATAATGGAACTTGGGAGGGATTTGGGTGAGTGTGGCAGGTTAATTTGAGAAGAGAATTTTTTGTCCATGAGGTTAAGAGTGTGAATACCTTATTGGATATGCTTCAGGACTTGCAAATTATCTCTTATAAACAAGATTATTGGAGGATGAATTTGTGATAAGGACGGTGTATTCTCGGTAAAAAGTGCGTACCTTTGACTGCAGTGCTTGCTAAGTGGAGAACTCAGATACTCTTCAGATATTCAACTAGTTATAAAAAGTCTTTGGAAATGCAAGGCTTTGATCAAGTGCTTGGTGTTTTGTTGGCAGACGTTATTGAATGCGTTTCCGTGCAAATCATTGTTACAAGTACATAAAGACGGTGATTCTTAGTGAAAAGTACGTACCTTTGGCTGCAGTGCTTGCTAGGTGGAGAACTCAGATACTCTTTCAGATTTTCAACTAGTTATAAAAAGTCTTTGGAAATGCAAGGCTCTGATCAAGTGATTGGTATTTTGTTGGCAGGTATTATTGAATGCGTTTCCGTGTAAATCATTGTTACAAGTACGTGGTGTGGAGTTTGATAACAATTTATGTTCTTTTTGCTCTCTGTTTGTTAAAGACCCTCTTCATCTCTTTCTAATGTGCCCAATAACTTTTAATATTTGGTTAGTTGTTGCTAATTGGTTGGAGGTTGCGGTGATCCTTCCTAATTCTTTAATTTCTCTTTATTTATATTGGACGAATTTTGATATATATAAAATACGTTCTCAGTGTTTTGAGGTGGTTTGAGTTTCTGTTATCTGGTCACTATGACTTCATCGGAATGTTATTATCTTTCAGCAAGGTGCTACGGATTACAAGAAAGTGTTGCACATTATCAAACTGCTTTCATGGAAGTGAATTAATAGTTTTGTCTCCGGTTGTTCTTTTAATTACATTAGTTGATATTATAACCCGAGTTTGTGTTTCTCATAATTTATGCTTTAGTTTTAAATTCTAATTATGTCTATGTGTCTCTTGTAACGGGTTGGAGTATTCCTTGTACTTTCTCTAATTTAAATCTCTTTTTCTTATAAAAAAAAAAATCTTTCTTTTTTATATAAAAAACGTTGTTGGATTTGAAATGTAAGTATTGATTTGGATTTTGATATTTGGTGCGTGGAATATGTTTATTTTGAAGACGCAGCAACACGCACCAATAACATACAGAAAAAACAGTAAAAACACGTGAAACGCTCGTTGCGCATTTGCGTCCGGTCTCTACCGACTCCAACAAACAACCACACTGTCATTTCAATTAATTTTTACTTAATATATAATTATGAAATATATTGGATTAAAATTTTATTTAAAAAAATTAATAATTTTTTTATAATTTTTAAAATATTATGTACAAATTTAATGATTTTTAATAATTTTTAAAATATTTTATATGAATGTAATAATTTTTTAGATTTTTTTTAAAAAGAATTAATAAAAATTTGTAATATGAATTTTAGTGGATTTGCATCTTAAGAATTTATAAGATTCAACATGATTTTATTAGATTTCAAAGAATAATATAGCTTTTAAAAAATAATACAATTAATAAGAAAAAAATAACATAAAAGATAATATTTGAATAAAAAAAATAAAATTAATAAAATTTTTAATTTTTTAATAAATAATTAATTTTAGTTTTATAAGAGTAATATCTTTATAAATACAGTTTCTTATGTATTTATATTTTCTTATTCATATTATTGAATTTGTACAATATATTTAAAATTTTGATATTTTAATATTAAATTTTATTGAAAGTAAACATTTTTTAAATGTTGATAATTTTAAAATTTTGATAATATATAATATTTAATAATTTCAAAACAATTTTAAATATTAAATAATTAAAAACAAATACTGATAAATTATATATAAATATTGATAGATACAAAATATAAGAAAAAGTATTGATAGGTAAAAAAGATAGAAGAAAAAATAAATATAAAAAAATAAAAGCTATGAAAAAAAAATGAATATGATATAGAGAAGATAAGAGAAAGATGAAGAAAGAAAGAAAAAATAAGATAAGAGAGAGAGAAATGAAAATATAAGAGAGAAGAAAAAAAAATAAAAAAATAATTAAATTGATTTGAATCACTTTAAATATGATGATTTGAATAATCAACTATCTTCACATCAAATATGATCTAAACAAATTATAATAGATGTGATTCACAAATCTATCATTTTTACCAACTCAATGACTCATTATATATTATTTAACTTTAATTAATACATTTTAAATTTTTTGTTCATTATTTTTATTTTTCTTCATTCAATTTGATCTTCTTATAATTTTATCCAACATTAACAAATGTCTCAATTTAGTCATATTTATTATGTAATTGTTTTATCATATTTTGAATAAGAAAATTAATTTAATTTATAAATTTATTATTGTAAAAAATGAATATTTAATAATTAAAGAATATATAAGATATATCATCACTTGCACTCAAGGACGGAGCCAAGGGGGGACCTACGGGTGCCACGGCCCCCCCAACAATTTTAATTTTTTTTTATATACATATATATTACTATATGGCACCCCCTATTTTTAATATAAACTCATATTTTTAATATAAACTCATATGTATATTACTATATGGCACCCCCTATATGGCACCCCCAGTATTGAAATCCTGGCTCCGTCCCTGCTTGCACTAATATAAAAAATATACATGAAATAAAAACAATTAGTAATAAAACATGGCAAAAATAATAAATTAATTATATTTATCATATCTCAATGATATGACCAAACCAGATTCAAATAACTTTAATTAGTTTGGTTAAATTTAAACTAATCCAACATTTGAACACCATCATCATATATATATATATATTCTAAATTCTTTTCTATTTGTTCTTTCAATTTACAAAACCTCTTGTGCCATTGACTCTCACTTATGTCAAGTTATTTTATAACCAACGTGATTAACACATAAAATGTTGACAAAAAACTAAAATTATAAAGAAAAGTAATAATTTAAATATTAATTTTTTATTCATATATTAAAAATTTGATTTTAAAGATTATAAGTTTATTTATTTATAATACAGTTTTTTTATTGAAAAATAAATAAACATAGCAAAACAAATAAATAAACAAAACAATTGGCTTCATGGTTCTTGTGAGGACCAGTCCCAACATCCTGTAACTTGGGTGGAAAATTATCAAAGCCTTCAAAGGGGTTTTTTTTTTTTTTTTTTTTTTTTTTTCCACTTCGAAATAGAACAATGCAAGAATAAGTGCTTCACCTCTTCGTCTTCATAATTACATAGGGCACAAGATTCATTTAAGAACAACATACCACGCTTCACAAGCCCCTTACGTACCGACAAAGCTTGTAATAACAATTACCAAGAGAAAAGTAGGACTTGTAATACCACACTTCAACATAGGACTTGTTTAGTTAAACTTTTCCAGAAATACTTTTCGCATAGAAAAGTAGGAATGAAAAATGAAATAAGTTTCGCTGTAAACTAAAATTGACTTATACATAAGTTAATTTGTAGAAGATCTCACCAGTCAGCTTATCCAAATTCTTAGTTTTAAGTTATGCATAATCTAGTTCTAGCTTATGGATAAGCTAATTTTGATTTTTACTTCCTATTTTTTATCCTAGAAGTGCTTAAAGAGAATTTTATCCAAACTGACTAAGCTTCCATTCCATTCTCATCAAACATGTTACATGTACATCACCAATCCTTTCATTTGAATCAGAATCAAAAGTTTCGATCACTATTATTAGCAACAGTTTAATACCTCGTTGACACGGTGTTCTCTATTTTGCGGAAGGTGCGAAGTAAGCCACTGAATTACAGGAAGAAGAGGCTGAGTATGAAGATCTTGAACGTGGGAGGGTCGAAGAGGGTGCGGGCATCCAACTAATCTTAAAGATTCCTCAATGCCACGCGTGTCGTCGTGGTCTCTGCAAGGCGAGTTAGAGCGCAGAAGAAAACCCTAACCGAATTGATTGAAAGGAAAGAATAAGAAGATACTTGCATTAAGGCAGCGATACACCAGGAGAGGCCGCCGGCGATCTTCTGAGACGGCGGTGCATCGGAATTTGTGGCGTCAACGTAGCCGGCTGCGTGGAGAAGATCCAGAATCTGCTCCACACTGCTCGAGTTTGATTCTTCGTCCTCCATCCTATGCCTACTCTTTCTTCCTCACTCGAGTTTCCTTTTGATATTCATTTTTACGGTTTTCAATCTCAACGGCTTTGTTTATTACATTTTGGGTTTTTTATTTATTAATAACTAAAAATATATTTTCAGCATAAAAATGAATTAATCGAAATATAAACATATATATAATGTTAAATTATAATATTAATTATAAATAATTAGTGGAGCCGAGGCACTTCGTACCTCTGTATGTGTACTATCTTAAAATTTAAAATAACTTATATATGGAATGAATTCATTTGTTGACATATAATTATATAAATAATTTTATTGAATATGATGTTTTATTATCATAGAATTTTCTTAATAGGATCAAATAAAAATTCATTTCAGGATGATTTTTAGGTTCTTTGCAATTTATGATAGAAATTAAATGTCATTCTACTATTATTTTTCGTCTTCATAATTACATAGGGCACAAGATTCATTTAAGAACAACATACCACGCTTCACAAGCCCCTTACGTACCGACAAAGCTTGTAATAACAATTACCAAGAGAAAAGTAGGACTTGTAATACCACACTTCAACATAGGACTTGTTTAGTTAAACTTTTCCAGAAATACTTTTCGCATAGAAAAGTAGGAATGAAAAATGAAATAAGTTTCGCTGTAAACTAAAATTGACTTATACATAAGTTAATTTGTAGAAGATCTCACCAGTCAGCTTATCCAAATTCTTAGTTTTAAGTTATGCATAATCTAGTTCTAGCTTATGGATAAGCTAATTTTGATTTTTACTTCCTATTTTTTATCCTAGAAGTGCTTAAAGAGAATTTTATCCAAACTGACTAAGCTTCCATTCCATTCTCATCAAACATGTTACATGTACATCACCAATCCTTTCATTTGAATCAGAATCAAAAGTTTCGATCACTATTATTAGCAACAGTTTAATACCTCGTTGACACGGTGTTCTCTATTTTGCGGAAGGTGCGAAGTAAGCCACTGAATTACAGGAAGAAGAGGCTGAGTATGAAGATCTTGAACGTGGGAGGGTCGAAGAGGGTGCGGGCATCCAACTAATCTTAAAGATTCCTCAATGCCACGCGTGTCGTCGTGGTCTCTGCAAGGCGAGTTAGAGCGCAGAAGAAAACCCTAACCGAATTGATTGAAAGGAAAGAATAAGAAGATACTTGCATTAAGGCAGCGATACACCAGGAGAGGCCGCCGGCGATCTTCTGAGACGGCGGTGCATCGGAATTTGTGGCGTCAACGTAGCCGGCTGCGTGGAGAAGATCCAGAATCTGCTCCACACTGCTCGAGTTTGATTCTTCGTCCTCCATCCTATGCCTACTCTTTCTTCCTCACTCGAGTTTCCTTTTGATATTCATTTTTACGGTTTTCAATCTCAACGGCTTTGTTTATTACATTTTGGGTTTTTTATTTATTAATAACTAAAAATATATTTTCAGCATAAAAATGAATTAATCGAAATATAAACATATATATAATGTTAAATTATAATATTAATTATAAATAATTAGTGGAGCCGAGGCACTTCGTACCTCTGTATGTGTACTATCTTAAAATTTAAAATAACTTATATATGGAATGAATTCATTTGTTGACATATAATTATATAAATACATAGGGCACAAGATTCATTTAAGAACAACATACCACGCTTCACAAGCCCCTTACGTACCGACAAAGCTTGTAATAACAATTACCAAGAGAAAAGTAGGACTTGTACTCAACAGGTTTTGGATATTCTAGCGAAGCATGAACTGTATGCGAAGATGTCTAAATGCTCA